CTACTTCATAAATTATGTCTGAAACCAGCATTACATTCCTCCGACAAACTTGAATCATTTGTATTCACCTTTTTCTATTTGATCTGAAATTACTATTTCAAGTAGATATTCAGTTGAACCAAATCAAACTTTGTCTGGTCATTTAACCGACGGAAATTCATCGATTCAACCAACTTCAATAGGTTTTGATGGTGTTGTAATATCCGATCTGCATGGTTTAATCTAAAGGAAGTCGTCTCTTTCACCTAACTGTCTAGGCAGCATCGCTTCCATTATAGGCGGCAGCGACAAAGATGAGGACGTCAAAGCCAGGATCGGAAAGACAGCAAGACAAGACAAGCCTTCCTCCATTAATCTGAAATCAGTGTGGAGATCCACTGCACTGCACTCAACTCAGAATAAAGAGTGAACAAAATCCGGATTTTTAACAGCAATGTCAGTCAAGTCAGAGCTTTTATATGATTCAGAAACTTGGTGCGTTGTGAAAAGCATTTCCAACAAACTACACACATACATCATCAACAACTGCCACCTACGCTCACTCCATACTGAAGATCAGATGAATGACCAGAAAGAATAAGCAACAACGAACTCTGACTGACTGACTGACTGACTGACTGGTAATGAACCAACCAAGAAAGAATCCATCGCCAAACAAATATCCGGAAAAAATGGAGATCGATTGGATTGGACATACACTGAGAAGACCATTAGGGAACATCAACTGCCATGCCAGGCCGTCGAGTGGAAGCGAAGGAGGAAACAACGAGTTGGGCATTCGAGGTTGACATGGAAGGAGATCGTGTGAGGAAGAAATGAAAGTTTATGAGGAGTCGTGGAGCCAGGTTGAAATGACTGTATAGAAGAGAGTGAAATGGCGACGCGTTATTGAAGCACACTACGTTCTACTAGGAATCCAAAGGACAAATTATAAATAATAAGCTTTATGTATAGTTTCGAATTTCATTATTGGTCGTGGATTATTTTAAAATGTCTTATTTTGGATAGTTTTAGACGGAAAACTATCTACTACTACTTCTGTTAGTAAGGTGCCTACCAGGCGAATGCTAACCTGAACTTCTTGTTTACTGAGAGTAAGATAGCTGAATTCAAGATGAATAAAAAAGACCCGTCACAGTTAGACAAATTTGATTTCCATCGTTGTTGTTTTTCTGTACCATTTCACTACTGGCTATTGGGATGGCATCTATTAAATATGTCTAAAGTTATCTAAGCCACTGAAATGAAAATATGGGTTTTCGCCACAAGTGGCTTAGTAGCTTATTAAGATGCCCCCATGTGTGATTGGTTGCTTTTGCAAACGTCTTGTCATTGTCTCCATATTTATTTCGATTGGTTGTCCTGCAGGAGTGAACTTTGACCTTATCGTTGTTTCCTAAAAGTTGATACATGGGGATAATGTGGACATGCCTGGTAATCGCTAACTTGAATGCCAAGTTTTTAAAAATCCTCTGCTATCCCTTGTATTTCCTCTGTCCAGGATTTCCACATCTTACCAATCGAATTCATGCTAACAGTTATCCCTGTGCATTTAAATGATCGAAGTGACGTCATGATGTTGCACTCTTAAATGTTAAAATTCCTAATCAATTATGCAACTGAGGGCAAAAATTAAATGATAATGATAAGAGTATAAACACAGATAATGTTTACATTTATCCAGGTGACCGGGAAGAAATTTACGGAAATTGTATCTGGCTTGAAGTTTAAGGCCATGAGAGGGAAATAGAAAAAACAAACATCTTCCGAATACATAAATTAGGTTTTAAAATCTTAATTACTATGGCTTCTGCTATACTTAGCAATTGGAGGCACACAAATTTGGAGTATTGTGATGGGACTTTGTAAAGAATAGTAAATGTTGAGGTTTTGTCTATCATCTTATGCTGAGTATTTAAAGGAGATGCATGCAACTGCAGAAACAGTGATACTGAAACTTAGATATCTGATACAAAAAACTTTTATTTGAAATCTGCTACTCTCTGTATGTGATGCCAATACAGTTAAAGGATAGACTTCCAAATCTGGTCACATCTATGTGCATTTATAAATTCAACTGCTGCTGTGGAGATGGTCACATCGGTAGAACGGCTCGGCAAGCCCATTATCACTTCATTGAGCACTGTCCAGCGTGGTTACGTAAAGGAACAGTAAAATCCATCAAAAGCTCAATACTCGTTATGAGAAAATAATTTTATCCTAGCACACACAAAATTCACTACTCACACACCCACAAATATTGACTACTGAGAATATATATATAAAGTTTCTGAGATTTTATCTTGTTGTTATTACCTTTTACTGTTATCTTCTAATTCATATAGCCGAATTAATTTAACCATGTTGATATCAAATGAAGACCATGCTGTGAATAATTTGTAAATGTAAAGCCAGATGAGAATTTAACGAAAATACGTATTCACTTCACACTCTCTCTCTTCTAACTAGCAGAATGGGAATATTCAAATTATAATCATTTATGAGAGGTTGAGTTCTATGGAGAAGCTGAACTGCATAGTATGCTTTACTGATAAGAGATTTTAATCTCTGTTTTTATATCATACTACTCGTTTCCCCTCTGTATCATACTTAAAAAAAACATATCCTTCTTCGGGGCCGAGAAAATTATAGGCTTTGGGGTTAACCGTTTTCTACAATGATTCACAAACTGTAATGGATATCTGTTTTCTGTAAGTGTATCTGTCAGAAATTTGCTCACATCATCTATTTTATCAGATGTACAAATACGTTAGATCCTGTTAAATAAGCATTTTATCAAGACCTGCTTATATTTCATTGAACAATTCACCTTAGTAATCCTTATCTGATTATATCACCAAGACGAGTATCATAACCTTTTTCTTATTCATTATATTTGACCATCTAATTTTTTTTTCCTTTTCATACATAAATTGACTTGTGACAAGTGAATGTGTGATCAGATTGCTCAAAATGTATTGTGCTAATACATTACACTTTTTAGATAATCTACATCTTCTAATAACCTTATCGAAATGGTCAATTGAGATAGAAAACGGAGATCTACAGATTCGTATGCGGATATTCTACTTACTAAACTGGTCATTTTCAGTGATGATAGTTGATAACTGACTAAAATACTTTCAAAACTGATCAGTATACTTAATATTAGGTCACGATTAGGGTAGGAGGGAGGTGATAAGTATGAAACATAAACTGAAACTATGTAGGTTATAACACAGTGTGTTTCTCACCAGAAGTTCTCCATTTATTTTTGAAATTTATATATCTGAGCCAATATGCTAATAACTCTCATCAAACTGACTGTTGTTTTGACTTGTGTGTTACAGTCAGGGCGACAAAGAAATCATGGATTGAAATGCAAAAAAGCAAAATAAATGCAAGACGAAGTATCAACTAAATATCACTTAAAAAGTATCATCGACGATATCAATCAAGCATATGACGTCTGTACTATATGAGGAAAATAAATGAAGACCTATTTCCTCTACAACTAGATACGTTGATTCATCAAGCAGTTAATTAACAAAAGAAAACGTAAAAGATAACCTGAAGGATACACTAATTAATCTGAATTTCGGGGTTTGTGGAGATTTAAAGATTTTTCAAGTTGATATTTATCATGGACTGATATCAGTTGGAGGAGCATTGGAAACATGGGAGCACTGGACAGCTGCTTCATCCTAATAAGGGACTCTTCAGAAGTTGGGAATACGAATTCCGACCTAGTGGCTCAACGGTAAAGTGCTGGGCACGGATTCTGAAGGTCGAGGGTTCGATCCTTGGTGGGGTCGTGAGTGTGCACTGCTGAAGAGTCCTGTGCCAGGACGAAACAGCTGTCCAGTCCTCCCAAGTTTCCAGTGTTCCTCTAACTGATGTCAATCCATGACGAATACCAATTTGATGGGTTAACTGTCATTAGAAGCTTAGGTAAAAGATTCGTAGAGTAGAAATCATGAATTATTTAACTAATCCATTGCTAGTCTCCTAATTTAGTGGTCAACTTCATTCATTCCACTCAGTTGATTTGTTTCAAACACTTTAAATAGTAGCTGAATGGGCGGGGAATAAGACTCAGTGAAAAACAAAGAAAAACTAAACATCTTTCTGGGTGTGCAAATATTTCTAAAAGTTGGAATTTAATAGTTCGATGTAAATTATTTAACTAGTGTAGGTTTACATACTAGGCTACGAGTCACACTTATTATGAAAAGATATTCTATGTTACCTGGTTCGCCAGGTAGTGCACCTAGGAAAAAAAAGTGACATCCTACTTTATACATACTGTGACGAATGAATTTATTGCAATGAAAGAACGATGAACTGCGATTTTCTCCTACACTAACTGCTAAAATGTACCGGTGAATAAACGGTATTATGAAATATCAGATCCAGATTACATTAATACACGGAAAATTATTTATACTGCGTGATGATTGAAGGTGAAATGAAAATTCGCCCAACTACTATATGAATTCATGATGCGTCATTACCACTTGATCGTATACTGGCTGCCTAGTCATGACTTCTCACCCTTCAATCATTACTAAGTATCAATACAAGTCTGCCAAACTACATAGGCTATCTCAGATAGTCAAAATGACAATCAATATGATTCTCCCCCTCTATAACTAAAGTAGACTGGGACTGTGATGAGAAGTCCTGACTTGGCAACCAGTGTAAGTATGATCAAGTGGTAGTAAAGCGTCACATGGTGGTCGGGTTAAACCATTGGTGGTTGAAGTAAAATAAAATTCTGGTCACTGGTCGGGTCTCGTAGGTGGTAGAGCACAAGACCAGAATCCTGGTAGTTACTGATTTGAATCCCACTGTGGCCCAAATTTTCATTTCACCTTCAACCATCATCCAGTATCAATACTACTCTGTCAAACCAAGGCTATCTCAGATGGTCAAAAAGATAAGTATTTGTCAGTCAAAAGGGTAATACAGATATCAACATTGGGCGAAACATAACTAACCTTTCCAATCGAAGCTGTGAGTAGAATGATCAAGTTCATCATTGTGTATGTGACTACAAACTCCTGTATGCAGTTCATACACAATAGTTGGTAGTAATGCCTGGAACTCCGTTTTGTTCAAGTAGGAATGATTAGCAGAGAAGAATGCGAGCATTTCACTTGCTGTAAAACACTAAGGAATAAAAATAAAGAGAGCATTTTCCTTATTAACAAAATAAAAGATGAGGAGAGAGTACATGAAGTTCAAAGAAATAAATTGAAACGAAATAATTCCTTCTCACTAATAATTTGCAAAAATTTCTAATCTAAAAAGCCAACGACTTGCGTTAAGGAAAATTTTTGAATAACTCATATCATCCTATGTGAGAAAGTGGTAGAGAACACAAAACAACCAAGATAATCCATCTAAGCGACAATTGTTCCCCACTATTTTGGACAGGCTGTCACTTGTAACCAGTGATACAGAACATGGGGTTAAATTAGTGAAAATTATGAAAATAATCACCTGGCATTATCTATCAAAGAAAGAGCTCTTGAGAAGTCTATCAACACTTTGCAGACCCTGTACAAAGACTTCTGGTAGGATGATCCAATACAACTATCTCTTCCTATTATTCCAAACCACTAGTGGGATTAGACAGAGGTGCTAGATCTCAATATCCTTCTTTAACGTTACTATCGATGACATTCTTGAGACAATACCGAAGAAAGAGCGAAGTGACGGTGATGTATATATGCGGACGGTTTCATTTTACTATACGACAATATACAGGTTATATATTATAATGTACATCGTCGTATAGATAGAAGTTAATTCCTGTTGAGTAAAGAGGTTGACTAGATGCATAGGTTATTGTATACACTAAGTTGCAATCTAAAAATGTTTGGAATGCGTTGCTAAACATACAAATCAGAACAGTTTCCCCCGGATTGATCTGCGTCAATAGAGATAAAAATGGTTGTGTGCGTTGACTATTTTACTAACGTGGTAAAGCACATCAGCCCTGCTAAATCAGTTACCAACTAAGGTGTCTCTATTGATATCTGACTATTCATTAGGGTTCGACAGTGCTGTACGGCAGTTCGTCCTGTCCTGCTATATTGCTGTGAAACATAATCACTAAAAGTAGAGCGCACGATGAAGCTGCAGGTGTTCGACCACCATTGCCTTCGTAGCATAAGCCGCTTCGTCAAACCACCAAGTCAGTAACTTAGTAGCCAGGCATGGGGTTTTGGGCAAAAGAAGGAAGTTAGTGAAGTTGTAAAGCCTCGTTTGCTAAACATGTCTAGCCAGTGTCTTCCTCGTTACGCAATGTTAGTCAAAGTAGGTCAAGACTGAGAAAAGTGAAGAGCGCCCAGACTATAACATGGCACCATCTTTTTAAGTCTCCCACTGTTGGTCTGAGTCATATGGAGAAATTCAGGCCCCCTGATTGGAGTAGACGTGAAGAAAACCAGTGGTTGAAGACTCTAGGTGATATGGCTACGAATCAGTCTCAGTAGTGCAGATGTATCAATATAATCTTCATCCTAAGTGGCATACTGAATTTCAGTTTAGTTTTATTCCTCCTTGTCCCTTTTTCGCGACTTTTTACTACTTCCAACTGCTTTCATTATTTTATCTATCATCTTCGTGCATTCTCACTTAGTGCCCTGAGTTATAAACTCGATCGTTAGGCAATAATCCCAGATCCTATTTTGATATCATCCATCCAATACACAGATTACTCAAATCGCATTTAATTGGTTGGCGACCGGCGACAATGAGTATGGCATTTCGTTTACACCGTTGAAGTGTAAATTGCTTCTACATGATCACTGAGGGTTTGGACCTGCAGTCATTTTTGAAGGTGAACTGTTAGTATTTAAAAAGATTGTATATTTGGGTAGTTGCGTTACTGCTAGTGGAGGCGTAATTGATAAGATTTCTAAATGTTTATTTAAAGCCTGAGATATGTAAGCTAATATGGATCATCTCCGAAACCATAGAGACTTTAGGTTGACTATAGAAGGTCGAGTATCGGTGAGAGCAGTTCTATTCTGCATATGTAGAGTAGAAAACAAGAAGCGGTTACACGTTTTTTTACCACAAGTGTCTTCGTCGCACTTCTCGCGTCCGATGGAATCACCAAGTAAGCAATGTAGAGGTCAGACAAAAATACTAGGCAAGACAGACAAGTCAATTGGTGAGATTGTAGGCCTTCATCGAATGAGATGGTTTTAACATGTACTGCTCATACCGAACCACTACCTACCTCAACGTGCAATACTAAAGCTGCACTAAGTTGGGAGAGAGTTCGTGGTGACCAGACAAAGACGTGGCATCAGTCCATGAAGTCCCTGACCATTAGTTTGAGGCGCATGGGGACATGAAGACTAACTGGCTGGGAGCTCCAAGAAGATAGGAATCAGTGGTTGAGGACTCTTGGTGATATGGTTGAAAATCGACCACAATGGTACAGATGTAACCAGTTTTTGACCTCTTTTTAAGCTTGAATATCAACACTAACCATTGTCTCTAAATTGTTTATTCTCTCACACAACCTTGTCTCATTCGATATCGTGCTTTTTCTATCTACCTGTTTTTTGTGTAGTACTGTAAAGTGTGCCAACCCCAGTCCATGAGCTTGTGTGCGAGGTTTTATATTGCTTTTCTCTGTCTTTCTATTGTACATCCCTGAAGTCCAACCTCTCAAATGAGAATGTGTATTGGAATACACCATTGTATTCGTACGATTACTGGCATCCAGGGAAAAAACTTTTGTAAGTAATTCTGAACAAAGACGAGTGTTTGGGAGAAACGGCGAACATCAATCAATAAATGATATGTTGAAACACTGATTAGAGGTTTGAACATGTGTTACAAGTGTCTATCTAGTAGTTTTCATACCATTCACTGTTTCTCAGACCTGTAAATGTATGGAAGATGTATAAATTTAGTCAACATATGCAGCAACACCGCATGATGCAGGAATGTTCTGCTGGATCAGCATGCGTTAGCGTTTCACAGCTCGACCTGCAGTCTGAGGGTTCACGTAACTCAGTGGCTCAAGACATTGTATATGGTTCCGAATCGAAACCAGTGGCATTGATGCTGGGATTTTTTTGTTCTATTTGCAATCACAGAATAAAAAGAAATCAATGAACGCTTTTCCAAGTGTATTCTTGAGACTTCATTTGATAATCCTGTCATTTTTCTTCCTGTCTTCTTTCTCATTTCTCTTTCACCCTAATATGTTCTTTATGTTGTTGTATTGCTTCATGGAGCCTATTTCTTGATGTTCATGCTTTATAAGCAAATATGAACATCAGTTGGATGAAAGCAATCGGTAGGAAGCCCTGGACTTAGGTTTCGTGCTTTTTAGCACTCATCAGCAAGGCGTATCTGCAACCTCTAAGAAATGATGTCCCCTCTGAGATTCGAACCCTCAACAACGAGTGCTGCAGTTATAGACGTTACTACTGGGCGATTCGGGCCGCAACTGACCTCTTGCAGGACTGGATTACATGCAGTGATTGATCACTGGATGATAACCAGCTCCATATTGTCTAGTCGGCACACAGGACTAGGCGATAAGTTGATTACCCTCCAGTGGCCGACCAATGCGAATATGAGTATCCGCTAAGTAAATTCTACTGCTGTTATTACCGTAAAGTCTAAGACTATGCGTACATCTCAAGCTTACCATCATACTGACAAAAACTTACTCACTTTGTGCACAATATAACCCTCTGCACACTCTAAGTCAACCAGATGACCTCCAGGGAGTAGATCAATCCCTGTGAAGTCAGACACACCTAAGTGGACATTCCTGGCAGACATCATTAGTTGTCGCCAATACACGTGACAGCTCTCCATAAGCTTTGACACGGCTGCGTGGCTTCAAATAGAGAGCTTTGATTGGCGTCATATACTTGCTAGGTACTCCCTCCACCGTCAAACATTGTTACAACACTTCTCAGTCGAAAGAGTCAAATACCGCCTTCAGGTCGACAAACATTCAAGTGTCTGTCGCCCATAGGTATGCTTGTGTTCCATAACCTGTCGTAGGGTAAAAATATGATAGCTGCACCCTCGTCCAGGTTTGAAACCTACCTGGTTTTCTCGAGTTTGCCTTCCTCAAGCTCCAGTTAGGCATCAAATAACTATGAACCGTAGGATCTTAGAAACAATATTAGTCAAACTAATTCCTCTTTGGTTGTCACAAGATTTCTCCCCCTTATAGACTGGGGCGATCAGTGAAGTACACCAGTTTGACGGCACTATCTCTAATTCCCATACACCGACTAATATCTTCGTTGCTCTAGGCAGAAACTTTCTACCTCCATCCCTGAAAACCTAAGGTGGTAAACTGGCAGGTTCAGCTGCTTTTCATTGTTTCAGGTTTGGTACAGCTTTCTCAACTTAAGGGACAGTTAGGGGACTGACACATTCGTCTGATTCAGGTTCAAACTGGATGTTAGGCAACTGAAGCATTGCTGAGGTCGGGTTGAAATGTGCTTCAAAATGTTCGGCTCAACGTTCTAGCCTCCTGTCCTGTGAGGTTATCAGCGTTCCATCCTTCTCGGTGATGGTTTCATTCAGCAACATCTTTTTCTTGCCCGTCTCACTAAAAAGTCTAGATATTTGCGAGGTGTTACCCAACATTGATGCCTTCGCCATCTCTCTTACTCTGGTCACCCACGACTGCTCAAAATCAACGCGGACTCTTAGTCAGCCTACGTTTGTGTTGCTTTCGCTCTTCATTGTGATCATAGTCAGCTGAAATGAATCTTTTCGCATCACTCAGTTCGAATGACGTTGTGGAAATCCAATCAGGTTTGCTAATCTTCGGGTGTAGGTTAACTGTCTTTACAGCTGTTTCTACAAGTAACTTAACATCACACCACATTTCCTCAGCATGAGCAATGCTGTCACCGTCACATAAATGCTTAAATATCTCTTCCCTAATTACACGCTTGACGCCCTCACCTTCCAAACGAGCACAGGCAAGCTTCAGTATCGCCTGTTTCCTGTAGCTAGTAAGGTGTATACACAGACGAGCTTGTACTAACGCGTGATCTGAGTACAAGCCGGCACTCCAGAAAGAGCGGCCACGCTCCACCGATCCTCTCTAACGATGGCTTATAGTAATGTGATCTATCAGTGTCCACCGTTGGTTTGAAGTTGGCAGGCGCCATATGAGACAGTATCTTCCATTATGATTAAAGTCAGTACTGTCTGAAAATAAGTGGTTGTCGCAACAAAAGTGCAACAGAAGATCACCGTTGTCAGTTCGTTGGGATGCGACTCATTAAATACCTCCAAGATGCCTTTCGAATCGGAACAGCTTCCTTACTTCAACGTTAGAGTCACTTCCCATTATGATTACATCTGAACGTTTCACTTTCAGTAGAAACGTGGACAGCTTTTCATAGAATTCGTCCTTTGCGTCATCTGAACCGCAGCCGGTCGGAGCATAAATGGAGATTACGAATAGGCATCGCTTAGTCTCATGGTCTTTCCTACTCCTTATAGACCCATTCAGTTGATCAGCAAATGGACGGCTGTTGATTGGTGTCTAGTTGAGAAGAGCACTTTCAGCTCTACAACTCAATGCTAAGCCTACAAAGGCGAGTCCACGAGAGTTAGCCACTGGATCTCCGGATACTCTTAAGGTGAATTTCGAAGATTCACTACCATGGTCAAATGAGGTCAATTTAATAGCCGCACTCCGAATCTGCATACGTGTCTCAAAGACAGCATACATGCATGGCTACAACTTCAGGAGTTTTGGTGAGTGATGCTTGCAGTCCGATTTGGCATAGAGTTGGGACGTTGAAAACTCCTACATGAAATTGATGACGGGGTCTTAAGAGACTAGGAGTGAGGTTTCGTTGGCTTTGATCGTTGACAATGTTACAGACTGAGGTTAGGTAAGGTGTCAGAGGCTTAGAATTAGTATCAAGAGGTGAAGACAATGGAGGAGACATAGTTGAGGAAGGTAGGTTATGTTTGATAGGGTCTTTTGTACTACTGAAAACACGCGGGCAATTGACATTTCCCAGGTACCCACACTATAGAAGGCTGTCTCTTCGTAAGGTATCTGAAAGAGAAAAAGCTTTGCGAGCACAGAGCCCATGTGAAATCTACTTGAGGTCGGTTACATACGGCCTTTTGTGGGCTGTTGCTTTGAGGTTTGGTTGTTCCAACGCTGATTAGAGAATACCTTTAACCCTGGCAGCTGAAGGCCGTGTGGCAGGTGGAGTGCGTTATTTTTGGGGCTCTTTTCTATCCTCTTTTTTCCCACAGAGAAGACAGCATTAGCATGGCACTACTAGTCATACAAGAGAAACACCTAACTGCTGTGTGTTGTCACACCATCCAGCTAGCAACAGTACGACTTCTCCCCTCAGACCCCCCATCATACAGTAAGATATTACACCTCAACTGTAACTGCTTTTTGTCTAACCACTATCCAACACACCTTTCTGGTAAGGTAGGGCCTTGAGGGAATCAGCGTTCCACCATTATAGCTCATTGGGTCATTTTGACATCCAAACCCGACCGCTACGTCAAGGCAGTATACATCGGTCTGGAACGAGGAATTTGGATTGATTGGTGTTTGTATGACGTAATTGGAAGCTGAATCGTAGCCTTTTACCACGAATTATATCAACAGAGAATAAGGTATATAACACTGGAATCGTCAGAAGTGTGAAATTTAGGCAAATATATGATAATAAATATGCATAAATAATACATATTTCGTGTTCAGCATTATGACGCACTACCACAACGTTGGGAATAAAATACCAAGCACTTCATACGAACAGTCTAAAACGACCCAGATTAGAGTCCTGTTTCTGCCACGATATCTCGAAGCTTATTCCGTCTTACTCGAAACACTGAATATCAATTAGTCAGTGTCAATACGAACTTTTGCACCAGTAGAGATTACCACAACTCACATCAAAGCACAAGGCAACAAAAGAAGTAAATGGAAATAATATAATTAATGTTAATGCAAAAAGCAAAACAGGCAATGAAGCAAGGAACGAAATATGATGTCACGGCTGGGATGAGGATACGACATGAAAGAAACGATGTATACGTAGTGTTAGTGTGAACCGATCTTTTAATCGACAGTTTACAAATCCACCAACCTAACGGTTTCCATGATCAAGAACACCACACAACCTTCGCACCATTCACCATCGTCTATAAGTGGTATATCTGACTCACATACTCAATAGAAAATGGATCAGAGCAGCTTCAATATAGCATCTTGTAGTTTAGAAGTGAAAAATGCTTCGAAATACCTTTCAGTATACTTAGTACAATTTACCATTTATCAGCACTTTCAAGCGACAAAGCAGTTGTAGTGGTACTATTACTTAGGAAGGAACCACGCAAGAAATCATTCTTTGTTAAAACAGGACAACTTCCAAGATAAAATCATTTGCAAAGTTGAATATAAGTGATGAGTTTGAATACTTGTGGTAAACAACACTAAAAGTATCCACCTAAGATAACAGATTACTTCATGAAGATTATGATACTAACTGATTGTTCAAATTTCGGTGAATAAAGCTGAATCCCATACTACTATAAAACAGGCATCTTAATCACCTTCAAATATCCAGTATCTTTTAACGAGCCAGTGTAAACCAATTGGTTTCTTCTCACTCACTTCTAGGTCTTGCGGAACGGTTCCAGGTCTTTGGTGGATTTCCATGCAGTAGGTCTACCAACTTGACTGCTGTAGCTCTGGCTAACCCGATGGGCGGTTGGGTGTTGGTTGAATTTGTAGAGAGTGTTATTTGTTTGTTTGTTTTCTTCAAAGGACTGTGGTGCAAATGGGTTCCTCAAGTGTCGTGCCATCAGACAATTGGTCGGACTGGTTGTAAAAAGGAGTTGGAAAATATGTCCAGAGAAATCAAGGGAGAGAAAGTGCAAAGAAAAATAAACAATAGGAAAAAACGATCAGGGAAAAGAAAACGGTACGGAAGAAGAAACATCGGTAGATTTATGATAGAGGGGTGATAGGGAGAAGTTCTATGAAAGTATGAGAACGTAAAGTCTGTAGGAAGAGAAGGGGAAAATAACATTGTAGAACAGCTTATGGGATTAGAGATAGTAATTCCATTAGCAGGATACGGTAACTGGAGAGGACATCTATGGTGGAGTATAAGGTTGAGCCAATTTCGCAGTTATAGTGGTGTTACGACGTATTCGATAATGGGTTGGTCGTACTGAGTTAGTAGGTCGTGTCACCCTAGTTCATATCCCAGCTGGATGGGTCCAAACCTTGCGTCGCTGCGTAACTGCCCAACCTCTTCTTGAAGCTGTCAACAGACGGAGCAGTAGCAACCTCAGCAGGTAATGCTTTCCAGTGGCCGCAAACTCGCAGAAAGAAGTGTGAACGCACACGGGTTTTCGCCCTTTGCCGGACGATTCTCCCTGGGTTACCACGAAGATCGCCATAGTGGCCACCCGGTAGGACTCCACTGTTCGGATGACCTGGGTTATCTGGTATTTTGTAAGCCGTTATCAAGTCATCACGTAATCGACGGTACCTTAGAGAGTAGAGTCCTAGATCTTTCAGCCTGTCTTCGTAGGGTTTCTGTCTCATTCCCATAACACCCTTTGTAGCTCTCCTTTCAACTTTCTCCAGGAGGTTCACATCTCTTTTCAGATATGGCGGCGCAATGACGTTGTGAACCTCTAAGTGAGGTCGTATGTAGGTCTTGCACACCTACAAAAAGAGTTGTGGGTCAGGGCACCTAGTTGTTTGCGTATGAAGCGCAGTACTGCAGAAGGCTCTAGAGGCGTCTCTTGGATAATTGGAGCTTGTCAGTCAGTATTAGTCCTAGGTCTTTCTCTATGGTAGTGTGGGAAAGTTATGTTCCACAGAGGGAACAGGGTACCTTCTGAGAGTCAGAGGTGCGGAGAAACACGGCTCGGCACCTATGCAGATTAAGTGTTAGTCCATTAACATCCACCCACTCTGCAAGTAATCTGAGATCATTTTGCAGTGAGCTTGATTCTGTTTCGGACGTCACAGCTTTCCACAACTTAAGATCGTTCGCGTAAAGTAGAACTTGGGAGCTGAGATTCAGTAGGAGGTCGTCCACAAGAAGAAGGAATAGCAGTGGACCCATAATCGCTCTTTGTGATACCCCAGATGATGTCCTGCAATACGTTACGTACGACTGCATTGTATGCTAGTCGACTAACGAGACAACCGCTACATTTTGAAAACGAAATAAACTAAATTCTGAATTTTTGGGGGGTAATTTCAAAAACCATTACAAAGCCCATAAAACTAGTGACCTACCTTGTTTTCCCTGGAACCATGTTCGTCGAGAGGTACTTCATTTAGGAAAATTTGCAGATGCTTCAGTAAATTTGTCAATTTTTGTTTATCCAAATGCTGAGTGCCATTTGTCAGGGATGAAAACATGGTATTTAAGTGTTCACTAGGTGCGAAATTGGCTACCTGGCAATGGAGGCATGGTATACGGGAACCAACTAGAGTGTAAATGGCTAAACACAAGCAAATATTCCGGTGAATGTGGCCACAAAATCCCACTCCACACATTATAACTATACAAAGTAAGAGAAGTGAATTGGCTGTATATTTAGTTCTTGGATCCGAAAACAGAACTCAAAGGCCAAAAGCACATGAACCTGAAAATGTTATAATCTACGCGCCAAATGTGATTGTACTGTCTGAAAGCTAGGTACATACAACAAAACAGAGTTGTCCAATTTCCCTTACAGAAACTTTGTAAAAAGATGATGAAAAAAGAAGAGTTAGGTATTCTTAAGGCCTGAATGTCTTCTAAGGACTAAACAAAAAGTTTCGTATCAGTACTGCGACTAAATGAAACCGAAAGATTTTAGTTCATGTACCTTGGTACTTATTGCTTCTGCAGCAGGTAAATGAGTCCTGTTTGCTCTCCTGCCTTTAGTTATAGGGACATGTAGATTAGAAGCGACAACCTGTGGGCTGAATGGTTCAAAAAGCAAAGGCGTTCATGCTAAGTTGACGGATCTTGTTTTACTTCTATCTCCAACATCTGACATCAGTAGTGCGAACCAAGGAAATTTTTAGATTTTGAGCTCTTGCTCCTAGGTCTTGAGGCTCGGTTCTTTTTGTTCGGTTGTACTCCTTTGGTGGCCGCAGAATTCTTTTCGCTTTCCTGTTCACAGCTTCGGAGGCAGTGATTGGCTATTTGATGGTATTTTATTTGTAAATTGTATCTTGGTTTGTTTTGGGGGGGCAACGGAGCTGCTGATAAAATCACTTAGCCGTTTGCAATCCCTGTTATTGGAAGCACCCGCAAGTAAGTGTTAAGCGTTACTTAAAAAGTGATAGAAACAGGGTAAGTTGGGAATGAAAAAAAGAGGAGTGGAAGGTACTGTTATTGACGCCATCACTGCTGTAGATTTCAAAGACTAATCGCATATCAGGTATGCAACTAGATACCGTTAGTGGATGCAAAAAGACACGGACGCAATTATCGGTGTAGCAGCGAAACAATAATACCCAAATGCTGGTAACAAGAAAAGCATGTCTCCCTTATTATTATTATCTTTCCCTTGGGTTCCTAGTGGAACATACGACTTCAGTAGCATGCCCACATTCCGCTCTATTCTCTGTAGTCTTTTGGACCTCAAGCCACGACCGCCCACAGGCTTTCATTTCTTCCTAACACGATCTGCTCCATGCCACCGTCGCCTCGGGCGCCCGACTCGTCGTTTCCCATCTGGGTTCCACTAGAGAGCCTAGCCTAACGCTTGATGCCTCCGAATAGTTTTCGCAGTGCGTGCCCAATCCATCTCCACTTCCTTCTGCATGTTTGTTAGGTGATAGATTCTTGGTTGGCTAGTTGCCAGCCAGCCAGATTTCCATGCCGCTCATTCTTTCTGGCCATCTGATCTTCAAAATCAAGCAAGCGTAGGCAGCAGCAGTTCATGACGTATGTCTGTGGTTTGTTGGAAATACTTTCCGTAAAGCGTCAAGTTTCTGAACCCTATAGAAGCACTGACTTAACTAAATTAGTGTTGAAAATCCGGATCTTGTTCTTTACACCGAGTGCAAAAGATCTGCACACTGATTTCAAGTTATTGAAGGTCTGTCTTGCTTTTCCGATCCTGGCTGGCTTTGACGTCCTCGTCTGTGCCGCCACTTGTAGTTGAAACGATGCTGAGCAGATACGTGAAAGAGGCTACTTTCTTTAAGTTTCTCCCGCTGATGGTGATCGGAGCTTGTTGGTGGTGGTGGTGTTGGTTGGGTATCATCATCACCTCTATCTTCTCTACATTCACTTGAAGTCCCGTTTTCACTGTCCTGCCTCTTCTATCAACTTGTTAGTCTTTGCCTGTAGATCTTTGAGTTTGTGCGACAGACATAAATAATAGGCGAAATCCAAATCTTCTTCCGGGTCCTTTCGTTGGTCCAGCCTATGCCCAACTTCTCGCTCCTCACTGTTTGCTGCATGATCCAGTCCACCTCAAAGAGGAACATCACTGGTGAAAGCAGGCAATCTTGTCTTACTCCCGTCCTCACTTCAAAAGTATCACTGAGCCTACTTGGCATGAGGAGTCTTCATATAATTGAATGAGGTTGATGTTGGTCTGTGGTATTCCGTAGTGTTGAAGCAGTTTCCAAATTACTTGTTGGTCGACACTCTTGAAGGCCTTTTCAAAGTCAATGAAGGTGGGGTACAGGGTTGACTGCCATTCTATACCCTGTTCTATGATGGTGCGTAGCGTTGCAATTTGGTCCGCACATGATTTGCACTTCTGGAATCTAGCCTGTTCCGGTTGTTGTTTATTAACCCAGCGCATCTTTTAGTCTCTCCAGGATGATGTGGTGCAATATTTTGCTTGGGGTGGACATAAACATGATTCTGCGCTACTTCTTGCAAAGAGATACGTCCCCATTCCTTGGAAGCTTGACAAGGTAACCCTTCATCCAGTCGCCAGGTACCGCTGCTCCCTTTCTTGCAAATCTTCTGCAGTAGTGGTGTGAGCATGTCCGCTGTCGTCCTGCGTCTGTTTTCAGCACTTATTGAGGAATTCAGTCTGGCCCTTCTGCTTTTTCTGATTTCATCAACCCTATGGCATTCGGCACTTCTGCTTTAGTTGGGCAGCCTGTGTTTCCTGGTGGTTCTGCGGTTTCTGGTGTCATTTCTGGAAAAGGTGGGGTTGTGGTAGTCGGTACAAGAGTCTTTTAGGCAGATCCACCCATTGTTTTGGTTGTTTCTTCTCCTTGATAATTACCATTCTTTCACTATCTCCTACTAGTTTCGTCTGCGTTGATCCCTACTCCGACGGTAACCCCGTTATTTCAAATAGTGTCATCAGCTCTCTCCTGCCTGCAGCCTGTTTTGCTTCATTTGCCAATGCGTCGTAGGAATGTCCTTCGTCTTTCCACTCACTTTTCTTCACTTCTTTGTCTGGCGTTTTATCTGTTGTATTTGGTTCCGCTTCTTGTCGTTCATCCTTGCACTGGGTCATCTTCTGCTTCGCCAACCTCCTTTTCCCCTATCAGCTTCCATATGTCCGTCGAGATCCATTCGTTATCTTCTTTCTTCTTCCTTCCCAATACGGTTATGCAGGTTTCTTTCCGCATAGCTTTCAAAAGTTCCAGTGTTCCTCCACTCAGCTTCCTTCAGGGATGTTTCTCTATATCTCCTATTTTGTCTTGATGGCTGGCGTGAAGATGTTCCTTTTAGCTTCGTCCTTCAGTTTCTGGGTGTTGAACTTGAACTGTGGTCTGTCACCAACTTCTTCGAAGTCTTACAACTTGATTTGGACGATTCCTTGCATTAGACGGTGAGTGATGTGAACCTACATCCGTTCATCTTCCTGATCCTGTGTCCAGTAGGCTGAGTCTGCACATTCAGATGAAGTCGATCTTATTTGTAGCGTAGTGTGTCCATCCGGTGAAACCTATGTCGCTTTGCAAATAACTTTGTGTTTGTACACACCGTCTTAAATCATCGAATCGTTTAATGAGCAGAAATCTGCAAACAGTTTTTTCTTGGTTGTCAACAAATTACCGCAAAGCTCAATTCATGGGTGGTGCTGTTCGTCGACTACGTAAACGTTTGTATAGTCATATATGGTGATGCTAATTCGTGTGCACCTGAAGCGGGTGTAGACTAACTAGTTGGCCGGACCAAGCGTTTATCCTTGGAAATCAACTCCGGTGAAAGTGCAGTAATGTACATGGGACACAGCAGTTGTTTCCGATATTCCGTTGATGGTACACCACTACTCGCAGCCTTTAAACTGAAAGAATCAGATGTTACCATACCCCATTGTTTGGAATTTCGATACACGGTAGTGGAGTCGCAGCTCTGGGCTTCTACATATTATGGCAAATCCATAGGGCTAGCAAAAGTTTTGATCTGGATACGTTAGGCCTCAGTTGGAATACTACATTCGGGTGCTCTGTCTATGCCCACGAAAGGATGCTGACGTGCTCTAGCGCGTTCAGCAGGTAGGTGCCAGGTCAGTTACAGGCCTTTCGAATACAAATAATTTATTCCTGAATATGCCTTTTGAGGGACGCTTAGGTGGGCTGGACTTATTATGGCTGTCTTATGGTACTAAGCAGGGTGCTCTCATACTGACATCCCCTGATTTAAATTATGACTCCGGCTCCAACGTATCCTGCCTTTCCCCTCCTGTTAGGATTGATTATCCCTGAAGCCATTAAAAGAAAGGTCAAAAAACGTGATCGTATCAGTGTATCGAGAATATGCGCCTCTTCTGCCGCCCGGTCATCGACCAGAATTACCCAAATTGACTAGTGATATCAGCCGTGTCGGTCGAAGTGTTCAGGAAGAAATTGGGTCTTCACACGGATATCCTCCATAAGGATTAACTTAGGCAACCTGGTCTGCTATGCTTAACAGTGGAGGATGAAATCAGTCGGCTTACACTATCTCCCCAAAAGGATAATGGAACCACGGCCTAAACGTGAAGTAACTCATAAAACCTGATACGAGATGTCAAGGGGTTACAGTTTTTCGTCTGTTTGCTTTTCGATCATAACGAATTAAATTTTGGACAACGTAACACCTGAATTAATTTCGATTCCACATTTGACAAGTTTTGAGACGAAACTCCGAGGAAGCGTGAGCAAGTTACAGCGGTTGAAATTAATGCTTTAAGAAATGGTGGCAACCTTGGCAAAATACAAACTTTTCTTCAGCCCAGCGGGAAGCCAAATCCTAAGTTGACCAATTTTCCTACAACTCAAGTGGTCAACAGCTTCAGAAAATCTGAATCTTACTAACTGTGGGGTATGGCGCAAGTAGTATACATCTCATCACCAGCCCCCGTCAACCCCTGAAGAGACTCCCACAGTTGTGAACTCCGGTCCCATGGGTCAGTTTTTGAAAAGAACACAGAAATTAGGGTCTGCATTCACAGGTAGGATTGAACCCCAGAAGTTGGACTACAATCTTAACTTTAGTCCATCCAGTTTGTAACTTTGAGGAAAGTGGCCCTTCCTTATTGATTGATCGTGATTGCCGATCCCATCCCGGATCTAAGGATCCTGTCCTAGTTCTCAGTTTA